CCCCAAAACCCCAAAACCCCAAAACCCCAAAACCCCATTCCTCAAAATAAAAATTGAATTAATAATATGGAAATCAAAAATAATTTAGCCATACAAAGCCAAAAAGGGCCTAAAAATGTTAGATATTTAGCCGAGCTTGATTCAAGCATCGAATTAATACCTTCTGACTGTCTAAAACAGGAATGGAGAATAAAATAAATCAGATTTCGGAGGGAGTGAAACAGCTAGTGAAATTTCAGAGAACACAAACACCCAATATTCCGCTCTTGAGAACTATGAGAAGTACAAGAAACATCATTTCAGGTCAAAATCAACTAAAAATAAGCTCTAAAGAAGAATGATCCCTCTGATACAAAGATTTTTGCATTATTGTACAATTCCTCAGCAGCATCTTTAGATGCAGAAATCGAAGAAGTCAAAGATGAGATTGATACAGAAAAGTTATCTATCAATATAAAGTCTCTTCTCGAGCAGAAATAAAAAGAAGAATCACTCTCGGGATAAATTTATACAATACAAAAAGAAAAAGGAAGCCTTGAGGAGAAGAAAATTTCATGCTATTGATAAGCACAAGGTACTTCAGAATGAGCTAGAGAAGTATACTCATATTGTTGTCAATCCGAAAGGTGCCATTACTGATGGATCTACAGTTGAATATTCCAATTATGGAGTCAAAGATAGAATCCGTTATCATTTTAAATAACAAGTCTATCTTTTATAAATTTAAGAACAGACATCTGTTCCCTAAAGATATGTATACTGCTCAAGTCAGAAAGGCATATAATGAGACATTAATGAAGGTAGATATATGAAATGAACTTAACACCCATGGAGGAAAGATTATGCTTAAGTACGAAAGTGAGAAAGACCGTTGACAGAAAACTCCAGAGTCACAAAACTCCCCTCATATCAAGCCTCCTGTGCTAAAATAAAAATTTAGAGTAAGATTCCTTTTAATATCACAGCCTCATAAATCCAATTATGATCACCACAAAGAGGAGAGACTCTGAAGGAGATAAAGAACAAAGATCTTCAAAAATTGCACGAAAGTAAAATTCTCATTAATTTGTAGATCCAGAATACATCGAGAGATGATCCTTCGATCCAACGCATATAATAACAGAAAAGTTCATGCATTTAGTACTCTTCATCTAATTTCTAGGTTCAAAATAATTACTATAAGTCATTATCCCAATTCTCCCCTTTTAAACGAGAGAATCAAGCTATGAATACGATGTATCGCAAAAGTATGATCAAATTCTTAATCTTTAGGAGCTTCAAGACATATGAGGATGGAAAATAAAAGTCACAGCAAAAGAGTGTCTCCTGATAACGACTATGCTTTACAACCTCAGAAGACCTTTGATTTAAGGAGTTCTAATCAAACTCAAGAGATACCTCTTCCACAACTGTCTCCACCTCGGGATGCAGAAGACGAAGCAATGATGAATCTAACTTCTCGCTACAAATTTAATCTAAAGCCTGCTGTTGAGACTGTACAGAAGGTTGGAGATGAAGAAACCCGTAATAAGGCACTAGATAATTTCAAAATGGCTAATTCTTCCATCAAAAATTCTCTAGAAAAGAAGAAATAGTCCGCCTGAGGAGTAAGTTTGCTATCTAAAACTGTTCGAATTATAGAATTTCCAAGGATACGATTAATGATAAACTCAAAGAAAGTCTGATGCATATTTCTCAACTTAATTCTAAGCATTCAGGACGGTACAACCCTCATTACCAAAGAATGAGCAGAAATGGGAAAGCAGGATTTCGTCTGAATAGCGTCAATGTCAAGAAACTCAACACTATCGTTGTCCGTAATACATATTTTGGGGTTGAGGACAGTTCTAACATACCTTAGATGAACTTCCTCCGATAAACTCTACTAAGAGAAACAGACAACTTAATAAATCAAACCAGCGACAAATATACAACCTTGCGAAACAATGAGATGAATTCTTAAAGGAGGACTCAAAGTTTATCAAAGACCTTCAACTTGATAGAGCAATTTCCAATATAAAGCTCTCAGGTAGGGTTTGCAGCCAATTTTAGATTTCTTAAAATAATGTGAGTATTATTCAAGATCTTGACACAGCAAAACCTTCTGGTAAGGTTTCTCCTCATCTGTAGCAATGAAGTTGCTGTTTGATTACCAAATGAGTTCCAAAATCCAAGATGTGATCAGAGGTAATCCTCTTTTATTGATTTTACAGAAAATGATGTGATACACGAATACAGATCTGGCATCATAGATCCCTCGAGATATGTAGCTAGAGTAGAAAAGAACATTAATTACAGGATCCAGATGCGCAACAAGGTTAGAGGGAGGGCAAATCTTAAATAATCGAAATGATAAATACTAATATTTTATTATATACTCCAATATCTATATAAACGCCAGGGGTTTTGGGGTTTTGGGGTTTTGGGGT